AACCTGGGATCCAACAGAAGGTCAAGCGAGATCTGCGGTCGGGATCATGGGCAAAGGACAATCGCGTCACGGCAGACTGGAACGCGACATGGCTCGCCCGAACTTTGTTCTGTCTTATCATCCGGGCACGCCATGCGTTTGCATGTGCGTCTGGGGTCTGATGCCATACCGTTGAGCACGATGGGCTCGCACCTCGTAATCATCATGCCGAGCACACCCAACGACACGTCCATGGCTGACATGCATCTTTATCAGTGTCGACGAGGTTGCGTGTGGGAACAAGCAAACAAACAATGCATCTTCACCGTCTTTCACGACTTGCCAACTTCCTCATGCAGTCCACACTTCGTCTGGGGAAGATACGTAGCGCATCCGTGAATCTGTCTGCCCACAGGACAAGTGCGGCGCCATACCTTCCAGTTCCCCACAAAAGGTGACGCTGTGCTGCGCATGCAGACCGGACCTGGTTCCATGCGCCTGTCTCCATTGGGTAAAGACATATGCACAATCCCTGCGCAGCCATCGGAAGTGATGGCAACTCGCGTGCGCAATGTTTGGGGGTGTGGTCGTAATGCGGAGTGGAGGCTGATGAAACTGATGTGCCAGAAGATCCAGCTCGGCATCCATCATCACTGTGCTTTTTCCGGGCATCAATGCCATTCGTTATCAATGAGTTATCGATGAACGAGAAGCAATCAAGCCACATGTGCTGAGAACGGTTTTTGTCGTTCGCGTATTAACGTTGCCGAGGGTTGGCCGCATGCCAGTAGGAAAACTTCCGTTAAAGAAAAATTCGAGAAAAGTGTGCTCACCGCCCTGGGGCATCCCGGTTGCAGCGTTGAGGCTAAATCCACTTTGACGGCTAGGCGAAACCTCAGAACAGGGATGTCTCCGCTCTGGAACAAGATGATATGCACGCTGCATCAGATCATGGCCAGCGCCCGTCCACTCGCATCGTGGCCGTTTGAGTGCTTGGAGACGCGGAAGATATTATAGCGGTCAGCGTGCGGGACAGCTGTGATGACCCGCCCAATTGCAGGTGGGAAGGATGCGCGATGCTCGAACCAGACGTGTTGAGCATGAGATCACTTGCGGGAAAGCCGTCTCAGGGCAGTAGACGTTCGTAATCGTTGGCGGAGGTTTGTCGGCAAGGAAGCATCCTTACCAGCTCCGTCTAGCATGTGCCACTTATTGCGCGCTCGGAGCAAGATGTAGAGAGATCCAAGTGCGGTGTTCACTGCTCCGGGCTCAGCTGAGACCATCTGATGCCCGAAGCTTGACACGGGCAGAGGTGCAACACAGACGGCCCAGATCAACGGGATTGGTCAGGACAACGAAGCCCATACAAGACGTTGGACAGGCTGCCGGAAGGTTGTGCCTAGAAGTGTGCGGCGAGTAAGTACCTACGTTAGAGGACTCTACCGTGTGGTACATGCAGGCAGGCAACGGCATGTTGATAGGAGCGTTAGGCTCTAGCCCCTGGCCAACAAAGCAAAAACGGGCTCTAAAAGTAGTATGCTGTCATAACCAAAGAGGCGATCCCTGGATACATTCACCCTACTAGACGCACGGTCTCTTACCGGAGCCTAGTCGCTCCTTCTTCACTGTGTGCTCCACTACGCCTCCGTTCTTTCCCTCGTCGCATCCCCTCTTCCTTCACCACCCCTCGAACTACATCAGGGCCCGACATCAACTGTCCTGTCCCATTCCGTTTCCCCTTGCCTCTCTCTGTTTCTGCTTCCTGATTCCCGTGGTGTTGGCGCAGCACTTGATTGTGTTGCCATAAGTTGTTGGTTCGAGCTCAAGGCAACCGGGCGCCATCGCCGAGTTACGTATTCACTCTTCAGGAGGCGAGCCGCGTAGCTGCGACAGGACGGGTGCCACTCAGCATTCAACACCGCCAGACATCTCTCGCAATAATCAGGCGCTCTTTTCGACGCCAAAGCCTGCAGTGCAGACAGAAGCGCACGCTACCTGCATCTCGGCGGCAGCGTTGGTGGTATAGGCTGCATTGCATTCCTACCGGACCAATCGACGACCCTAGCATTCGCGCAGTAACAAAACACTTTTGGCTGCACACCCTCTGCCAGCCTCAATAATTATCTTGTCCCCCCGAAGCCTCCCTTCTTCCTTCCTCTCTCCCTGCGCGACGTTTGCGACTGCATCGCCGCTCCCACGATGCCCTACAACACACGCCGGAAGTCGCTGTCGCTGCCGTCGCTCGGCATCCAGCTGCCAGGAGGACCGCGATCCGCGCGCTCACCGCCTTCGACAAGCGACGGCCAGCACGCCGCAAAGAAACAGAAACGCTCCCACTCCGGCTCTCTCTCATCGGCACTCCCCTCGCCATCACGCCCCGCCGCACTGCGCCTCGATGAGCAGCGACCCAAAAGCTCAGGCCGGGTGGCAGACACCCCGCCACCGTCGCCAGGCGGCGAGTCCGGCACGACCAAGATCGATACCCAGGGCATCGACGACGAAATCGTGGTCGGCGTTATCGAACAGCTCCAGAAGACAGGCAACCGTCCCCACCTGCTGAAAGAACTCGCCCTCGTTCTATCGCCCATCATTCCCATTGTTGAGAGGTTCGTACCAAACTTCCGCCATCCACGCCCTGACCACCAGTTACTCATGCTGACGTACTCTAGCTCCGCCAACCCAGCTGCCATTATCTCGTCACGCTTAGCGACCTACCTCAAGCGCAATTGGACAGCGCTGTCGAGATGCCCCCTCGACAAGAAGCTCGTTGGTACCCACCCCAAGCGTGTCTACTACTTCCTCTCCACTTGCCCGCATCAGCCTATCCCGGCCGACGGAACTAGCACCGCCATGGCACCGCGCATCGTCACCCCATCGCTGTCGTCCGCAACTTCGGAAGAAGAGGACGCGGATGCGAGGTCAAGAGGTCGCATGTCACCGTCGCCCGAGCTAGACCTGTCTGACTACGACAGCCACGACAGCGACCCCTTCTCCAAACAGAGCCATCTTCCCACGACTGCGAACATCTCGCACAACCGCCGAGCTCAGTCGCCGCCTTTAGAAAAGGATGAGCGCGAGTTCACCCAGACTGCGTCGTTCCTGCAGCAACGCCGGATGAGCCAGGAAGCCGAGCGCGAGCGATCTGCCAGCGCATCTGCCGAGCCAACACAACAGAGCGACGTCAAGATGGAAGAAGTCGCCGTCTCCGTCGAAGAGACCGTAGAAAGCGCTGCTCAAAAGGACTCGGAAGCCGCAGCCGCCCTCTTCGGCCAGATGGACCAGCTCATGACTTTCCAGAGCGCTCTATCACCCAGCAGCCCCGCGCTGAAACCCGTGCTCCACATCGAAATGCCCCCGCCGTCGCTCAAGCGCAAGTCGATAAAACTCGAGCTTGACGACGACTGGATCATGAAGAGCCCGGAGCTTATTGACCTTGACGAGCTTGATGACCTTTTCGGCGGCTACTAGGCCGCTATTTCCTTTGCGCGATTTCTCTCTGTATACGACATTTACGATTCTCCCGGGGCACGTCTCTCATCTATTCCTCCTCTATCTATTGTATTCTCTCCTCATGTCGTTTCATCATTGCGTACGTCCTAGATGGATTCCATTTCGCCGCTCGCGCTGCACTACACACTCTAGGGATGTTGATTTATCGCATGGAGTTCTTGAGATCTGGGTGTCTAGGAAGGAATTCTGTAAGATAACTGTAGAGTGTAGCTGTGCGATTACCAGCCAGGAGGCCTGGCTGAGGCGCTGGATTGTTACTCGGCGTCTGAATGCGCGAATCTGCGACTAGGTGTTGGCCAGCATTTTCCAGAATGTGGCAGTCGCCCATGGCGACGAAGAATGAAGTAAAAGGAACGGAACTACTAGATAAAAGTTCATGAAATTGAAAAACAGTTGATATCCTTCACAACAGCTCATCTAAACAAGCTCTCGAACGAACGTGTCTGTGATGTCGGCAATCTCGATTGTTGCCGACCAGAGCTGGTGGGCCGGGTTGTCCCCTACCAACACGTACTCTGCGCTCACCGCCCGAGTTGCGCACTTCCTGCACCTAACACTACACCTGGCAGTGGTCTAACGCATAACAGCGCGAAAATTGGGCCCTCACCGGCAGGGCCATCTGCGCCCAATGCGGCTCCTACGATGCGGTGTATCCTAGCCCCAGACAGGAAGGGACAGAGACCTTGGCGCTGCGTTGTTGAAGAAGTTGCGGTCGAGCGAGATGCGCTGGAGAACAGCCTCACTTTTGACCGCACACGCGCACACCAGCGGGGTTGACGAGTAAATCTTTGCATGCTGCTCCAGATTCTGCTCATCCGCCTGGTAGAATCAACAATCCCGAGGGGTAATCGCATGTTCGCAGACAAGAGGCTGGGTAAGCGAGTCCAATGACTTGGGCACCCCCAGCCCTGTACAGCAAAGCTTTGAAGCCGAAGCCCAACCACTCGACGTAAGAGTGCGCTGTGCGCTGCGCGACACGTCCGCCCTATTTCCTTTCCCATATTGACCATCCGACCCCCTCGGTTTCACGGATTCCTGTGCCCTGCGTCAAAGTGCTTGCTGCAGGTTCCCGAGGCTGATGAGGAAGCCCGTTGCCTCGCTTACTCCCGCCCATCAAGTCAAAAGAGTTGGAACGGAAGAGCTGGAAATTGTGAAAAGAGGAGGCTGGGGATCCGCGACACCCTCATCCACTGCCCATCAGACGTGCGATCGCTACGAAACGAAGCGCGTCTTTCCGGCGTCTTTGCAGTGGTATACGAAAGGCCATTCGCGGACATAGCCCAAGGCTGCCAGCAACACAACACCAGCAGAGTGGATAGTCGACACGTGGATACGCAACAACCGGGTTAGCCGCATTGCCAGTCACCAAACCTCGCCGCGGGCGTAAAAAGCTCACGCATATCGACGTAGCCCGCTCTAACTCCCCTTGGACTTGGGCTGCGTCTACACCACGACAGCAACTGCCTTTTTCAAAGGCCCATCAAGAAAGAGCCAGGAACCTCAAGAAAAGAATGTCTGTAGCACTATCCCGAGCGCGGAGCAGAAGTCGGGCACCGAGCACCAGAGCGCCGTTAACATCACAGCCCATCGTTGTGGATGTTCCGCGAAGTGGGGCTAAATCACCACTCATCATTGATGTGCCAGCACCAGCACCCCGCGCAAGGAGCAGAAGCGTGCGTAGCATGCGCGAACCCATGGTCGACGCACCTGGACTCAGTGGTGGAAGGGGCATGTTCAAGAGGTTGATTGTTGCGTGTGACGGAACTTGGCTAAACTCGGACGATGGAACCAAGAACGGTACTCTCTCCATCCCAAGCAATATCACTCGCATATCAAGAGCCATCAAGGCAGTCAGTCAGGACGGTATCCAGCAGATTGTCAACTATCACCAAGGTCTTGGGACCGAAGGCGGAAAGCTCTCGAGATTGGTTGGGGGTGCTACGGGCAAGGGCCTGAGCGATGATGTTCGGGAGGCCTATTCGTTTCTTGCCAACAACTATCACCCAGGAGACGAAATTTTCTTACTAGGGTTTTCGAGAGGCGCGTTTACTGCGCGCAGCATCGGCGGCTTAATCGGAGAGATTGGACTTCTCACAAAGAAGGGCTTGAACACGCTACCGGAAGTGTATGAAGATGTTCAAAATCGACGGAACCCCGACTACCGCCCGAAGCACGAGGATGTACCTTTCCCGCGGAAACCAAGCGCAGATGATCCACGATACGCAGAAGAACTGGAACGCAGAGGATTGACCAGACTCGACATTCCAATCAAATGCATAGCTGTGTGGGACACTGTCGGCAGTCTCGGCATACCGCGGATCGGAAAGCTGCAGCGCTTGGGTCTACAGATGAAGCAGTCAAAAGCAACGACTTTCTACGACACCAAGTTGTCTAATTGCATTGAGAATGCATTCCAAGCGTTGGCTCTGGATGAGAATCGGTCGTCCTTTTCACCTGCCGTCTGGGAAAAGCCTGAGGGTAACCGTACGACGCTCCGCCAAGTATGGTTTCCGGGTGCGCACGCGAATGTGGGCGGTGGCTACGATGATATGCAGATTGCGAATATCAGTCTGGCGTGGATGATGAGTCAACTCGAGCCATTCCTAGATCTACGGTCGGAGTATCTGTTTGAACAGGACGATCTGAATGAGAAGTACTACAAGAAAGAGGAAGGTGCGATCCGACCGTGGAGCTTTGGCAAGATCTATAGCGAGCTGAAGGGCGCCTTTGCAATCGGTGGTAGTACTGTAAGTTCAATTCTTTGCAAATATACGTATGCATACTAACAGAAATGATAGCAACGCAAACCAGGCCAATACACCTCCGTAGACCCCTTCTCAGGCCGCTCAACAGAACGACCTCTCCGCCAAACCAACGAATACATCCACCCCTCAGTCCGCACCCGCTACCGTCTGGAAGGTCCCGGAATCCAAGACCGCGGCCTCTATGAAGCCCGCGCCCTAACCGACAGCTACAAGCTCGTCGTCGACTACGGCGCCAATAACTCCCGCGCCGGCGACGCAGAAGTCTACTGGAAGATCAAATGGAGAGACACCATGGCCGTTAAAGTCCTCCCCGAAGCCCCTCTCTGGCGCCTCGAACGTGAACTCGCAAAACGCGATCCGGCTACTTACGACTACATCAAAAAGCCGCCTGCCACCGCTACTACGCGCAGTAAACGCCGCACTGCACGGCCCCTATCTGCGGATTTCTCAAACAGCAAAGTTGGCGGCGGACTTACGAGTCCCACTTCTACCCGCAAAGCAAGGAGGGACACGTTTTCTCCGCGGTCGACGTTCCCCGCCGAAGACCGCGCGCCGCCTAGTCGGAGGAGCACGACGAAGATTGAGAGACCGCGCAGTAGGAGTCGCGCGCGCAGTGTCGAGTTTGCGAGTGATCGGGAGACGGACATCAGGGAGAGTATGCCGCATCGGAGGGAGAAGGATAAGGCGTGGTGGGAGGGACGGCGGTGACGAAAAGTTGATTAAGCGCGCAATGTTTCCTTAGACCTTCTGATTTATACTTTCGGTTGACTTCATATGGAGGGTTGGATATATGCGGATACCCTTTTAGATGTAATACGATTCGATACTTGAGTGTTAGGTGGACCTGGACAAGTCACTTCGCATCGATGTGACGCTCGTTATGCACAGTCATTCTGGGGCTCAACAAGCCGACGAAACCGTCCTTTTGTTCAACTGCCAGCTACCATGACAAATATGTATATCGATGAGTACCGTGGTGCTGGAATCACGTGGGTCGTGGGCGCGTTGTCACTCCACACTCCGCGTATTATCGGTAATCCAGTGTGACCAAATGGCGAACACCCACCCAATAGCTAAACTCACAGTACTTCACCTGAACCCACAGCTATCGCAAGATAAGTGCGAATAAAAGAAAGATGGTAAACCCGCCTACCAAGATTTGGGTGATCGACCTCATCGGGCATACCCACAGATCTCCTTTCTAGACCCTGGTGCGTGAGGCTCGATCGACGAGGGGGACCCCGGCCAAATCTTCGCAGTCAACGGTTTCAGTGAGTAATGCGCGGACCGACTGCTGTTTATGTGTTATTTATCGCATGGCAATCGCGACGATGGCAAAGACGAAGATGGGGCGAGGTGACCTGATGTGTGCTGTGTTGTGATGTTTGCAGCGGAGGTGCAGCAGGCGGGATGTGAGTGGCCAGACGACAAGTCGATGATGGCTGCGCCGCCCGCCCATCGCTCGGGAAACGGACGTGCGAGAATATCGTTTTCGTGCGTGGAACGCGCAACGCTGCATGACAAGGCCGTGTAAGCAGCCCGTCGACACCACGATATTCTCACGAGGTATAGCAGTAAACGGTCCATGACATATCCACCTCCTCGAAAAGTCTTGCCCTCGTAATGTCCAAGCCCAGAATACGATGCGCGCATTGATGTCTCCCTCGGAACAATATCGTGTTGCGGAGCCCTCATGTTATATTTAGGGTTGCATTGCCCTCTAGCGCTAGTGTCTCTCGGGCGCCCCCCTGCTTGTATCCCATTCGCCGCCGCCCGCCGCTGGGCTGGTGCTGCTGAGCTGGGCTGGGCTAACAAGTCAACGCTGAGACCATCAAACCTCTCCTTTCACTTCCGCCGTTGAGACAAAAACCATCAATCGCTTTATCGCTTACCTCGACTCGTCGCCTATCTTCACCCTTCGCCAGTCGCTCGTTTATACGGACGGAGAGGTGTTAACTGTAATATCCATTCGTCGTTTCTCCGCGTAATACTTGTGTCGCGTCGCCTCCGGAGCTCTTCTTCTCTCTCCCGTCCCGTCACGCCTGAGAGTTGTACGATACCTGAGATTCCACGAGGAACTCTTCCCGCTTGCGAAACGACGTTTTAGCCGGTACACACGTTTTTGGAGCTTCGAAGGACCAAAGGAGACTTGCTTCAGGCATCATTCGGACAAGATGAGGCCGTCTCAGCTTCTCGCTGCCGTGGTGGCCATGTCGTCGGTTACGCATGCCATGAACGTCAAGCATGCATTCGACAATATCCATGGGTTGACTGATGTCAAGAACGTCCTCATGGGACGTCAGGACAACAGTACGTTTGAGCATCTTTGAGATTGAATCGGTTGGATGCTAATGCTACGGTTCAGACAACAATAACAACAACGACAACGCCTCAGACGCACCCGCCAGCACACAGCCCGCAAAGACATCCGCAGCGGACAAACCCACCGAGACAGGCGGCAACAACAACAACGATAACAATGACAATAACAACAACGATGATAACAAGTCCTCCGGCACCGCAAAGGAAACCGCCAGCGGCACCCAAAAGCCCAGCGGCTCCAAGACAACAGGCAAGGGCTCAAAGTCCACCAGCTTCGACGCCCGCCTCCCCGCCGGTGGCCTCACAATGGTGACCCCCAACGCCCTCGCTGGAACGCAATTCTACAAAGTCGGCGACTGGGTAACCTTCGCCTGGAACTACACCTCCCTCTCCGTGACTCCCTCAGCCATCGACGTCCTCGCCTCCTGCACCGCCAACCAAGCCACCTACACCATCGCCGTCAACATCTCCGCGAAGCAAACCGAGGTTCTCTGGGATACCAAGCACACTCCGGATGGCCAGGCACCGTTTTTGACCGAGAACTACAAGCTGCTCATCTACGACTCGGATCTTAGTGCTACTGCGGCGCCGAGGCCCGGATATCTTGGAGCCTTCACTGGATTCACTTTTGGAATGTATCTGCCGCAGGAGTACATTTCGCTCAAGGACGGATACACTTGCCCTAACTGCAATGGCGCGCTTTCTCTTTCTGAGAAGAAGACACTTGCTGCTATGCTGCTTACCACTGGTACGACGATTGGCTCTATGCTTTACTTCACGTACCAGTTTGGTGTCTGGTAGATGAAGCGCCTTCTCGATACACGTACACGTAGATCTACGACAACGCAAATCCGATAAAACGCAAGAACTCGACGCTTCACCGCTTACGATTACGGCATATCACAAAACACTTTCTTTTTACGCCAATCTTCACATCTGTCCATATTTTGCCACTCATTTACAAAAAGATTCGGGCGCTTTCTGGTGGGGAGTGATATATGGGGCATCGTCACAATCCTTTTGGGGCCATCAAGGCATCTGGTGTTTGGGAGTTGTTATATGGGCTTTGATTGGAAACAATGGTGTTCTGCATTTGGCTCGAGAGTATAAAGATATGTAATACTTGGATTGCTTCGAGGTAAAGATGGGTATGCAGGGGGGGATGTGTATATGCTTGGATGGATGTGAAGGGATGGCAATGTTGCTAGCATCTTCGTCATTTAGATTGAAAAGAGGGAAAACAAATGATAAAATATGTTAAGCACTCCACTTCAGTATGACGATATGCACATGAGATCCTGAACCTAAAAGCGGTTTGGTAATCTGCATAGTAGGACAGACCCGATGTCGCTCACGACGTCACTCATTTGGCCGCCACGTTCATGAGTCTGCTTGCACACTCGTATATTCTCATCCGCTCTCTTGTGCGCCATGGAACAATTGTCCTTAGATACTAGTCGAGAAGGAAACGATGACTCCCGCATTCTTCACAATAAAGATGCAGCTACATCAGGTGGTGGTGGTGACCATCATCGTTACTTTCCCACTTTCTGAGCGACGAGATGGCGGCCTGTGCGTCTCCCTATCCATATAAATACATCATGTTCGACTTTCCGACTCTCTTTCTTACATCTAAAACCATTACTTCAATCTCTAAAAACGCATCTCTCAACAATTTCATGTGTGGAGAGGACGTCCTCTTCCAAAAAAATCCGCGCGTGCTTTTCATGTGGAGAGTCCACGCTATGAGCTTTACTTTTCAAAGTACAGTCTCTACTACTCATGTTCCACCCGCTGCGATTTGCAACCTTTACCAAAAGTCAAAGTGCTATTATCGATGGTCCTCTCCCTCCGAAATAAGAGGTCGAAGATGCTATGTCTGTCGTCTGCTGTCACCAAAATCAGAAAGTCCAAAATATCATGGTGACCAGAAAGAAGCCCTGAACTATTTTATGAGCGACGCTGCCTCCGCAAGAAGCAATAGCGCATGGCGTCTTGGTGTCGGTATAAAGTTCTACCCGCTCACTCCTTCACACTCTTCTTCAAACTCAGCTCAGTTCTTTGCTTCCCGAAAATCTCAGCCAACCAGACTATGTCTGAGTCGTTCTTCCGCGTCTCTCGAAAGTATTTGGATATACCATTATGTCCTCGCTCTAGACCTTGCCTGTTACCTAGGTATTATCAAAAACTGTTAACCCCATACCGATGTCTGCCTCCTCGCACGAGCCGCGAACATCTTTGAAATGAGCGATATCTTGGTTATCTTCTCCATCCAAAATACTGATGAAGACAACGAATGTCATCCGCCTGCTGTCGAAAAGCGTACCTAAAAGCGAACATGACTTCCAAAAACACGAGGTCTTCCGCTGATGACAATAAATACTACTATCGAGATTATCATGTCGCTCTGGTCTTCTTGAGTATAAATACATACCACTTGGGCGACTCTTGTTCTTCTTTATCACAACAACTCTTCCAGTTCTTTCCAAAAATAGACAGGACCCGATTCATGTTGGTTGCGCAACTCTCTCTCTTCAAAAAAGGCACATTCCACTGTGATGCGAGCGCTCCGAGCTAGACCCACAATTATAAAAAAAAGAGAGTTCTTCTTTGCATGTCTCCTTCCTGGAGCAGATCGGGAATCAAACCAGAAGCGATTACCCCAGAATGGTCATACCCTCTACACGTAAAGATCAGATCCCATGCGTCTCTTACTACGCATATATATCTGCTACTTGGCTACCCTCTTCTCCTCCTTATTCCAAAAGTCTGTATTTCTCCCTCCAAAAGAGAACATCGATTAGTTCATGTCGTTGGTGCGTTCTGGGTTTCTAAAAATTGGGGACTATCCTCCTATGTGAGCGCCCGGGCCTTACCTGCTATTATCAAACCCTTCAACGGTTTGAACTATGTTCCCGTTCTCGAGCGGAATGCAAATCGATCCAAAACCAGCTTGTACAGACTGCATGTTGGCTGTCGTTCCTGAGCGCTAAGATCATATCCCGCGCATCTCTTGCTGTGCATATAAATATCTGTCATTCGGACTCTTTCTTCTCTTCTTCATTTCAACAACCGCTCTTCACATCCTCCAAAAATGAGTACGAAAGCATCGATGTTGTTGGCGCTTTCTCTGTGTCCCAAAAGCGACTTAGAACTTCCGCATGTGAAAGCTTCGAGCCATACCTTCTATCACTAAAACACCGTGGAGCGCCTATGATGTCTTTGTTCCCGAAAGCCTTGCATCTTAACTAAAAACACCAAGATGAAGCCCATGTTCTCTTCTCCGTGCCAACGTCACACCTCAAACATGGATCTTGCTCTGCCTCTGTGCATCTAAATACCTACCTCTTCGACCTCTTCTTCTCTTCTTCATTCCCACAGGTATCCTTCTTTCTCCAAAAAGCAACTGTTCACTTCGCTATGTGTCGCTGGCGCCTTCTGTCCTCCTCAAAACTATGTCACTATGAAGCTATGTGGACGCTCTGATCTCCATCCTCTATCTACTCAAATAAACAACGCCACCCTGAATGTCTTCTTTCTCGGCTGAGATGAGGCTCAGTTTAAAGTCGCAAACATGATCTCGATGTGTCGACTGAGTTCGCCGTTCAAAAACGTAGCATCCTCCGACATGTTCTTTGCCTGGTGTCACCAAAATTCCAGCGGGCTATTAAAATTAAACCAGAACAAATCTGCTAAGACCTGATGATCAGAGCTGTTTCACGAACTGTTTTACGAGATCTCCAGGTGGCTGGCGCCGTGTGGTGGCGTCTGTTATGCCCTTTCACCGAAACCTCCAAAAATGTCCAAAAATCACCAAAAAAGAATACCTGGGGTATCTGACTATAGCCAGACGAATGCTGAACAGAGTGGGACTCGAACCCACGCCACTTTCGTGACCAGGAAGTAATGTTAAGAGTAACCTTAACCTGGCGCCATAACCAGCTCTGTGATTTTTGTCAGATTTTGGTCAGGGAGACAGAGGAGTGTTGTTGTGCTTACCGGCCATCTGTCCGTTGGTATTTGATTGGTTGATGGAGGGAGTGAGAATTATAACAGTTATAACGTTGGTTGTTGGTCGTGGTTGGGGTTGGTGGTGGAGATGGTGCGGTGAGAATTTTCGTGGTGGGGGGCGGGTCGCGGAGGAACTTGGAAACTAGGGCGACGGCGACGTCGGGATTGTGGAGACTAAATACATGGTAGAATGACCCTAGTCTCCCTTTGCGTGAATAAGGATTTGAAGGGTTGCTTGCGAAATATAACCGTAGTGTTGGCGCACTTCTTTATTTGACTGGAACTCATTAGCGCGATAAGACGATACAACATCAATCCTCACATCTTGGGTAGAATGCAGGCGATTTCTTTGGAACAAATATTCTCGAGACTCTTTGTTTGAGCACAGTGAAGTGCAGCATGTGGATTCGTAGCTATGAGCCCACGCCAAGTTGAGCGTGTTGAAGTTGTCCATAGCAGAGTGGACAGGGATCAGAAAAAGAAATTGAACCCGCTGAATACAATACTGAATAAGAAATACAGACATTTATAAGAAGTAGAGATCGCAGCATGTCCGCAGAAGAGGTCTTCGCAATCAAAAACATGTTACAAATCGTGAGCGTGGGTAGTCCCGTAGGAAAGTAACGGCTTCGACAAAGCATGCCTGATCATGCGTGCTTCTTGTTGAAGTGCTTGAGCACGCTGTCCTTACTTGAATGAATTTATTGCAGTCAACTGCAAGGCATCGAAAGCGACTCCAGGTTTCTGGTGACTCGTGACTTTGGCGGTGTCGCTCCAGATCTGCGCATAGACCGAAGGCGCTTGAGCATCTGGGAGGAGGACAGCGGTATCGCTTTTCATATTTCCGACGGATATGAGGAAAGAAGAATGTCGGTTTTCAATGAATCAAGCAATAACCGTCGACGTAACCTGTATGAGGTGGAGGCGACGATGGACAAAGAGCTCCTTCAGCAAGAACGGAGCCCGCCTGTAAATTGATAAGGAGTCCTTCACATAGGAGTATGCCAAAAGAAGCAGGGAAAGCAGGAAAAGTAGTGATCTGTATCCTCTCTCGAAATAAATGGAGGCGTACTATGTCTTGAACTGAGAACGCTACTAGGCGGAGAGGAGTAGGGATTTGAGCAGCCACGCTCAAATTACAGCATCCGCTACGTATGCCTTGACGGCATATACTGCTTGAGCTGCATCGTTGTGTCAAACTCAGCCTTGCTGTATGCCCCCTCTCGCGGCGTTGTGGCAGTATGGAGGACGCAGGCTGAGCGGGACGGATGTCGGGAGGTCTGTGCTTATGAGGCCCTTGCCCGCTTCGAGCCTGATTTTCGCGGGCAAGAAACACCTGCTCGCGCGCTCGCACGCGCCTCCACTCGTGTCCTATCTATCGTCAGCCACAATATCTTTCCATTGCGCTTATTGGGGCAAGCTTTCTGCAATGATGATAGCACTGCCGAAAACGTCACGTACCTATCGTGTACCGGTATGCCACACACGAGGCTGAGATGCACATCAGCCGATACGCCCGCGCGCGAGTCTTCATCCACAAAGGTTTTCACGATAAATGCTCTCATTATTAATTATGTCGACTAGATCATTACCATAACGCTCTACTTCCTCGCAGCACCAGTGCCCTCTGGCCAGAACTCCTCCAGCCACTCGTACGGGTTCTCTGGAACATACTGATTCAAGATCTCGCCCTCAAAGTCGGTAAGGTGGTCGCGCGTCAGGTTGTACAGCGCGTACTTCTCATCTGGACCTGTTCCAACAGTGTATGGGACGGTCTGAACGTTGTTTCCGATCTCCTTGTCGACCCAGCGCTCGACGTCTACGACCTGGGCGTTCTTGATGCGGTACTCGTCGCCGTAGTTGGGTGAAATCTACCCATGTGTTAGTAAGAAGACAATGAAAGAGGGGGACCTTTGGGGGGCTTACTATGCCCATCCTGGTGCCATTGACGGCAATGACGTTCTGGATGGTGACATTGCGCTTCGCCTGGTTCAAGCAGTTGCCGCACGACTGGTAGAAGGTGCCGAACGTCTCGGCGTAGAAGCCAGTGATGTTGAATTTGCCGCCTAGCGAGTTGTCCTGGAAGATCTTGTCGGTTGCCGAACGCGCACCGCCTCCGATAACGCGAAGCTGGGTGTTGAGGCCCTTGGATGTGAGGGCATCTTCACACACATCCTCCCACCAGACTGTCATAAAGGTGTCAGTATGCTGGCCAGATTAACTTTGGTCTCAAAGCTTACCATTCTCGACCCATGCATCGCCAAGCGCGTGGATACCTTCGCTTTGGTGCTTTCCAATGACCACGTTCCTGATCGTGGCACCAGGAAGGAGATTGAAAACAGCATCGGCATCTGTTCCTTCCGCCTGCTCGTTGCACGAGCCCTCCACGCGCTCATAACGCTTCATCTGCCCGTCGAAGACCTGGCCGGGCTGAATGTACATGGTCTCGTTGAGGACGACCGTCTCAGTCGGTACCGGGAACTTGGTAACCGGGAAAGGGAATCGCGGAAGAGGTCGTGCACCGAGATCGCCCTGAGTGGAGTCTGCGCCTCCTTGGGGTCCATCACCATTCTGACGACGGATCACTGCTGCTGATGAGAGCGCAGGAAGAAGAGGGAGGATAACAGAGGTAGAGAGCTTCATCGCGATGACTGGCTGTGAAGTATGAGGGTATTTGAGCTCTTCTGACTGAGATTCTAGGTCAATTGACGACGGTCGAGATGCAGGAGAGGTACTTTGCATTGCTTGCAGCTGCCCTAGCTTTTATATCACCCACAACACCTCCTCGCCCAGCTCTCCTTCCGTCCAGAAGCCTCATCACGCGCATTGTTCCCACGCGATCCCACTTACAATCCTGGCGCGACCGTTTTCCATATGCTCGTGTAGCTGCACAAGGCCATAGCTTCCACAAATTTACCCCGGTATTACAGCCTCCAAGCCAGCGGAAGAACTGGCATCCAGGTTGTTTCCGTGAATGACGATGCGAGAACGGTGGTGTAGCAAACTTGGCGCAGATTTAACCGATGTATCCCCAGACTATGAGATGCGTCGCCAAGTGAACGCCTCGTCTTGGTGACATTTTCCCACGAATAACCCCATGACTTGGCAATCTGCTTTCGCCAACCCCAACTTTCCTCCCCGCGTATCGTAGGTTACTTTTGCGGGGGACAAGGGTCTAATTTTCCTGCGCCCTGAGCGGTCGTGGCTTGTAGTGGCTTGACGTACAGGATTGGGTTGCCGCGGCCGCGCTTCGAAATTTTCCATCCTCTGTTGCGCGAAGAATCTCATGGTATGGGCCGGTTTGACTCGAAAACGAGAAGGATTTTACCCACTGGACGACGGAAGGAGATACGGTCAGGACGTGTTCGAGGAATGTAAATTGACATGACTTCACTATCAACATGGTAAGCCTGCTGAACAACTACACAGCTGATGACAGTCGCATATCCAGCGACTCAAAGAATAAGGGGCTGTCAAATCCAGTTTTCAGTCATCTCCTGCAAACCCTTTTCAAGGCTGTCCCATTTCGACCCCGGTTCCTTCAACCAGCTCATGACTTCCTCAGCTCTGGCATTGGGCAAACTCATTCGGTCAACACCCATGCCCTCGATGTTATCGAGAAACCTCCTTTTAGGATACAGCTTACGCCATATATCCAGCATCTGGTTGTAGCTCCACGGCTCTGCAAAAGCAAAGAGACGTTCATTTTCAACATCGCTGTGGATCAGCGCGGAGATGTGTACCAGCGCGCAGTCAATGGGATGAACATACCATTGCGGGCCAACGGAAGTGGTCCAAAAGTCGAGCTGTTCGCCTTCCCATGCAGCACGGGCCCAACCAATGGTTGAAGGAAAGCCTTGATGCTCGGGGATCACGACAGGGCCAAAATTGGCGTTCGGCAACTATTCAGCATTAGCAGTATCCTTTTCGGACCATTGAACTTCCTGCTTACCACGCGGTTGAACACGAAGTTGGGCCGATTCTCTTCCATCCATTTCATCATCGCCTTCTCAGTCTCGGTCTTCATGGCGGCGTAGACAAACAGCCCTGGTTTACCCGGCTCTTTCTCCAGAATCTTCAACGCTTCATCATTGTATGTACTCTCGTCGATCGAGAATTCAACATTGGGACGAGGAAACGTCGCGGCAAGGGACGACGAGGTGAAAACGAAGCCCTTGCATGAGGGTACCTTCGCACAAGCCTTGAGGCCGTTTAGACTTGCCCTCACGGTAATCGAGATCGCTTCATTGACTTCGGAAATGCCTCCGATCGGTGACGCGACGTGGACGAAGCCTTCAATACCTACGAATCAGTTTTCTTTAGTATTGGAGTTCAAGTCATCACTAATGAGTCTCGTTTCGACATACCATCAACAACATCATCATAGCATCCCTCGACTGTCATATCGGGTACCTCAACCAACTCAAATTTCGCTTCCTTGTACTTATCGTTGAAGTACTCCGTCATGTATTTGTGTTTCTCGACATCTCTCACCGCACCGCGAACATTGTATTCTCGCTTCAGGAGCTGATCGACAATATGGCTTCCGACGAGCCCGTTGACGCCTGTCACAAATACAGTCGCACCAGGTTTGATAGCGATCGTAGGCATGGCGTCAAGTAAGGTCGATTGATGGCTGCAGCAGGCGAGGCTTGTGACATTGGCTTAGTTTTGGGATATCCTGAATGTGCCTTGGGACCTGCTCGTCTATTCCGCAACCCACCCTGATTTGAGAGCGGAGATGGGGAAAGAAGATAAGATTCGCAAGGCTAGGAAGCGCATTATATTCACAACAATGCACGTGGATGGCTACCACGTTACACAAGCTAACTGTTCTTGGAAAGGCGGGGTCGTCATACTGGCTGCTGGACCGAACGAACACCAGCGACATACGCCTTCAGGCTTGAGATTACTCCATTCGAGGGCTCTAGTCGATGATTGTAGCTTTAGCACTACACAGCCTTGCGGCTTGCTCTGGGGACCGGCTTTCAATGACATTCAAGCTTTGGAGGTTTTGCAATGTCCATACCAGATCAAACCCGACGGAAAGACCTATCGCATATACAAAATGCTGATCAGAATGACAGTAGACGTCAGTCTTTCCCGAGCTGTCTATCAATTAAAAAGACAAACGATAGCTTTAAGAAGTAGGCTGTCGCCCCGAATCTTCGACCGCATCATCTTCGACACGACTGCCGTTGAGCTCTTCGCAACCCCGTTACTTCCACTGAGAACAGTGTTCTTTCTGGAAAGCAAGCTTCGAATGTTGAACTATGACAGGTATGAGATATTCGAAAGAGATGCTAAGCGCACTCAATCTACCTCGTCAGCCCTCGTCAGCCCTCAGCCAATGATCCAGTGCCGGCACCGACAAACGAGGCACGAAACGAACGCGATCATCGATGGAAAACCAGCCATTCATTCCAACGGCTGAAGGTGAACGGGTAGAAGGATAAGGCGATAACCAGAGGAAACAGCACGTGGTCGATGAGGAGGCGAAACCTGATGCCTCTGCGGCTGGGTTCTTACCAACGCAAGGAGATGAGGGAATAGACGACGTCAACGATGAAGAAAAAGAAGATAATGGCGCACGGGTGTTGATGTTATTTCCGACGGCATAGATGGTTTCGAACAAGAGCGGCAAAGGTCAGCAGATGGAAAGAAGGCGAACCTGAGAAGTGTAGACTTCACAAAGACGTGTGAATCTGTCCGAATACTTCTTTGCGCATCGGCACGCTCTGAAGCCGAGGATGAAGATCGGTAGAGGATGTCTCAGATTCCCAAGGCGACACCAGAAAGATGAACAGAATGGCAGCCACGAAGCACGCGTAATTTTTCCGTACGGCATGATGACATGAGATCATCGCTGTCTACCCGTTACGAATGTGCACGTTTGTAAAACAAACTAAGCACTCCACGATGTCGACTTCTTCCACCGGTTGTAACCCGGCGGTACCTGGACCGCGGCTCACCCCACGACTTTGACGATCCAACTCCACGCCGCAAATACGTACGACAGTCTAATCACTGAATTACGAGGACCGAATATTTCTCCCTTGCGCCTCTCAGAACAAGCCTTCCAACACAACGATGCGTCTTTGAACAAGCATACCAAGCTTCTATTCTCCGTGAATCCTGAAGCTTGTCACACCCCTCTCATCTTGGCGAAATGAAGAAACATTACGCCGTTCCCCACAAAACCCAGCCTAGTCGTTTCACTCCAACACCACGAACGGGCTCGAAACCGCTCACCGGGTTCGAAAGCAAGCCAAAAAGCGGGTCGACCATCTCGCTTGGACTAGCCGCCGCCCTCCGAAGGCTCCGATGACAGCACTGACAGCTCCAGATGCCGGAACGTCGCACAAGCGACCCATCTCCCGTGTTTCTTGCTCACAGCCACTCAATACCACCGAGCTTCTCGGTAATGATCGTGAAACGGTGGGAACAATGCGGAGACTACGTGCCGCCACGCCGTCTTCTGGAATGTAGGTCTCGAACGGGTTGGAAGCGCAAGGACATGACCCTTGGAGTACCTACTCTTACCATGAGATGATAAAAGCGCTACCTACCCACCCTTTCCAACGTTCCCCATCACAATTGTGAAGTTTCAATCCTTTACTTCTTCTTGTGCTAGATCGCATTGTCACTCCTTCATCTATTCCAATCCTTACTTCCTTCATCCAAACTTCGCTTCAATGGCTCGTTACTCCTTCGCATTCGCTGCTCTAGCAGCAAGCGGTGCCTACGCTGCGCAGAGCGCAGCATACACACAGTGTGGTGGAAAGGGCTTCACCGGTGCCACCGCATGTGTCTCCGGATACCACTGTGAGGTCCAGAACGACTGGTACTCTCAGTGTGTTCCTGGTGCCGGTGCCGGTGCAGCAAGCCCTGTAGCAAGCCCTGTTCCTACAACCATGATGACTGCCACCAAGGCACCCGCTGCTAAGACCTCTTCTCCAGCAGCAGTAGCTGTTGCCGCTCCCAGCAAGGCCGCCGTCGCTGCCAACGCAGCAGCCAGCTCTGGAAAGACCCAGTACGCCGGTATGAACATTGCTGGTTTCGACTTCGGATGCGACACATCCGGATCATGCAGCGGAGCCTACGTCGACCCCGGTGCGAACGGAATCGCTCAGATGCAGCATTTCACCAAGGACGACAAGCTCAACATCTATCGTCTCCCCATCGGCTGGCAGCATCTTACCGGAAACACTCTCGGTGGTAACCTCGACGCCACCGTCAGCGCTGCCTACGACAAGCTCGTCCAAGGCTGCTTGGCCACCGGCGCAGTCTGCCTCCTCGACCTCCACAACTACGCTCGCTGGAATGGCCAGATCGTCGGCCAAGGCGGCCCAACCAACGCACAGTTCGCGGATGTCTGGACCAAGATCGCGACCAAGTACGCATCAGAGAAGAACGTTGCCTTCGGTCTGATGAACGAACCCCACGACCTCACAATGTCCACCTGGGCCGACTCATGCCAGGCGGCCGTAACCGCCATCCGCAAGGCCGGCGCTAAGTCGCAAATGATCCTCCTCCCAGGAACCGACTACACATCGGCCGGTACCTTCCCCACCGCCAGCGGCCCCTCCCTCCTCAAGGTCAAGGACACCGACGGCACGACCGACAAGCTCATCTTCGACGTCCACCGCTACCTCGACAGCGACAACTCCGGTACCCACGCCGAGTGCACAAGCGACCACGTCGAAGACTCCTTCGTTCCCCTCGCTACCTGGCTCCGCGACAACAAGCGTCAAGCTATCTTGTCTGAGGTCGGTGGCGGTAACACTGCGTCGTGTGAGAAGGATGTTTGCGCTGCGCTGGATAGCTTGAACAAGAACAGCGATGTTTACCTTGGTTACATTGGTTGGTCGGCTGGTGCGTTCGATCAGAGCTACGTGCTTGGTCTGACGCCTAACGGCTCCACTGACCGCGAATTGGTTACTAAGTGCTTTAGCCGCGCTTAGAGTGGTAGGTCCATGGGCTTAAGCCTTGGTGCAAGGCAGATCTCATCGTTTCTGATGGGTGATACTTTCGGTAGTCGTATTCTCTTCTTCTGTAGATCTTTACAATCGAACTTTTCTTGATATCTTCGACAGTATCGAAACTCAAGCAATCAGTCTCATGCCGTGTGAAAGCCTCCGTTTGGACAAAGTGATTGAGATTGGGATATGAAGACTTCACGTTTCGCAGACATTAGTATGGACGAGCTGCGTTAGTTTGACCGTCATGTCAGGGTCGAGAGGAAACGAAGTATCAAGGAAGAGTGTGAGATGAAGTAAGCAAGTACAGTCCTCCCTCATCGTGGATCACCCGTTGTGTCCCTACCATCTTCTGAACTTGATACCAACAAACAACCGTGAATGCAAGCATTTGAGCAAGCATGTAAGTAAGCAATCAAGCAAGTGTACACGTGGTACTGCCAGAGAGATACAAGTAAGACCCCGAAACCCTCCTCACTGAGTAGACACACAAAGCCTCTCGTATACCAATCCTTCCACATCCAGACCCGTATATACCTCCTCCTTCCAAAGAAACTTTTGTTTCAAAGAACGTAGCAGTGCCAAACGGTGCTGTCGTATAGTGCGCGAATGTGTTGTGTTGCTCAGGTATCTTTGATGGGGTCGTCTTTGACAGTATCATCCTTGATAGAGTCGTTCTTGATGAAGTCGTCCTTGATGGAACCGTCCTTGAAAGAGCCGTCCTTGCCGAACTTGTCCTTGGTAGGCGTACTCATTGGCGACAAGTTCTCGAAGTGGTCGACAAGAGACTTGATGCTGTCGCTGGTCTTACGTCTCCTAGTCTCAGTGCCGCTGAACTGGCTCGGGGTACGTACAATCTCGTTGCGGACAGGTGCAAGCGCAGTCCTCTTCTCCCAGGGAATGGTCGGTTGCCAAAGCGAGGAGGGTACTACTCGTGCTGATTCTGCTCCAAGGAACCTCTGGAAGTCCGATGGTCTCAGTGACCTAGTGCTGTTCATGGACTCGGTATCGGTCTTGTCTTCGGTGACCTCGGTTTCCTCCGTCTCTTGAGCGCCTTCAGTCTCCTCGTCGTCTTCCTCGGACTCGTCGGACTCGTCGATCTCGGTTTCCTCGACCTCTTGAATCACCTCAGGCTCCTCAATCTGGTTGATCTCCGTAGTCTCAACCTGTCTTGTGGCCGCCCAATCTGTGGTTTCGATCATCGAGTCCGCTGGGTGCTCATTGATGGCAGAAAGCGGAAGGTCATCGAGAGACCTGTGCGGAACGTCCGCGTCGTTGAGGGTCGAGATCGAAGGTGAAATACGTGGAGTCGGGTGACCCTCGACGGTGGCCTGCGAGCTGGTCTCGGAGAAGTCCTCGTCGCTGAACTCGTCGATGAAGTCGTCGTTGCGATCGCCATCCACAGCCATCGTGCTGCGGTTACTGTCCTCACTCCCGACAAGAGTATCGCCATCGCCCTATGCACATTAGCAAACTTACCAGCCAGCCTCCACCTCCTCCTTTTGACAAAGCCAAAGAAAAGTTCGACGTACCTCAGGAACAAAGATCCTTCCAAACACCGTCTCCATCTTCCCCGCCAGGCCCAGCACACTCGGACAAGCAACCTTCATAAGCACCTGCTTCACCTCGCCGGAACCTCCCGCATACTCAATCACACGACGCTCCTCCTCCAAATTGAACGCTTGAAAAACAACGCCTTTAACGACTTCTTCGCCGCTCCACTCACCAAAGTTTACTGCATCGAATGCGAGCGTGTTGGGTCCGTCGCCAGAGCGCACGGAACGTCGGTATCCTGCAATGCGCGCTTTGCGTAGCTTGGGCACGCGGGACAGCATGAGAGAGGTCTGTTGGAGCGGGAGGTTGGAGTTAGCGTGGGGCTTGTATGTGGTGAGTATGGTTGGGACTCGCTTTCAGCATCTTCTCAGTGACACCATCGCAAAGGAAATACGCGACCGGGTAGCCGGTCGAAGCGGTCGGCTTGGTGTCAGCTGATGTTGCCATCGCGTTGTCGTTGTGGTGGTTGCCTGAGGCTGGTTGATCCATTGCGATTGCGGTTGCGATCGCGTGAGTCTCGAGTGATTTTGAAGTAAAGGTAAAAGGTGTGTGGGTGAGAAAAGGGAAACGAGGTGAAGAAAAGCTAGAGGTGAGAGAGCGCGTGGGGAGCTCGGGCCTTTTCTGCGACGGGGAGTAGTGAGTAGTGAGAGTGAAGATATCCGTTTGTTGTTGTCAATATGTGCGTTTGTCGCGCCGCTCTCTGGCTCTCTGTCGACTGGGGGACGCGAAGAGGCCGATAGCGCGCGTGGGAGCTATCATATCTCACCTTCCCTAAGCATTTTCACATCTCCGCCAACGTATCGAGAATATCTGTTTGTTGTCAAGACGTGCGTTTGTCGCGCCGTGTATTAGCGGAGAGGTCGATAACGCACCTCAAAACCCAACAGACCGAGATAAGAAGAGAACGATTGCGGTATGCAATAGCCATCTCATCTCACCTTGACTGAACATCCTTTCAATGCCGTGTGCTCACATCACCATGACAACACATTTCCGAAATGAAGAACAATAAAGACAGAAAACACCATTCATGATATCCTACAATGTATGCACTTCGACGATGATGGAGAAAGTAAAGAGCATTCGCGCCTCGAAACCACACCCAGTTACATCCATCCCGTCCCCAGTACAAGTTTCGCCGAGCAATGCTTATTCTACATGAAATGCGCAGCAAAGACATACACGAACGGATATTAGAGATACCCAAAGACGATTTCCGAAGAACTCCCTTGCTTTTTCTGTATCATCATGAACCAAAAAGACTGAGAAAACGATACCAAGAAAACCCTGAGCGTTCGTCACCCTTCCTAGCCCACCATGCTCATCTCGGTTTTCCCCGTCCCACGTACGTTTATCGTTGACCCGTTGTTTTGCCAGCCAGCCCAATGAGTCGTGATCCCGCAAGCGGTTGAGAAGTCGCCGAGTGATGCGTATAGAAAAGGTATTACACCGAGAAGGAAAAGAGATGACGGCCGTGTGGTTGATCCTAAGAGAGATACACTAATCGCTGGACTACGCTGGGCGTATGAAGAACGGCGGAAGGTTGTTGGTGCCTTGGAGGTACACTCGTGCTGAAAACGTCGAGATCTTGCCACCAGCTGCCTAAGCTAGCGGTCGTGGGCTCGACTGTGCATGCGTGAAGAGTGCATTGAGAAGTCGCTCAACCTTCAAAAGAAGACGAGTCAGTATGATTGGACAGAAGAGTAATAAGAAGATTACGTACTTCAGGAGCCGCTTTGACAAACGGCAAGTCCCAGAATGTGTATGTTGGATTCTTGAGGATTTCCAACAACGTAATGATGAGTCCCCATGGGTGAGGGCGATGGACCAGCAGGCGCTCCAACAACACTCGGGTGATCGTCTCTTGGATCTCTAACGCCAACGAATCGTCGTTCGGGGGTCCGAAAAGGTGTAGCAGCGTGTAGCTGTAGAAGTGAGTATGCGTGTTTGGGAAGCGGAGCTGGTTCGCGATGGCGCTAATGAAGTGGAACCTGGCTTCAGGGTGGAAGTCCTTGACGAGCCTCTCGATGACCTTGGTGGCTGGGCTCTCCGCGTCAAAGATCGGTACGCTGGCTGGGCCGGTGCCTAGAGACGAGATACCGATGTACAGGGTGATTGCATGTATCAACGTTGGGTTTGCGGTAGTTGAAACGAGCTCGAAAGCTGGCGACTGAGCCTCTGCGTAGTAAACAGCTTGACACACTTTATCGACGTCCTGGTTCTTTAGGTCTGAGCCCTTGAGGAGGTTGTCTACAGCACCCTTGATCCCCGCATCGGAGAGTACCTGCGCGATGTCGGCACGGATGACCGGTGCTTGAAGGTCGTGCTCCAGTCGGTCGGCCTTGAGCCCAGCCGTAAATGGGTCTGGCATCTCAAGGATCGTGGAAGGGTAGGCACTGACGATGAGATTGCGCAGTTGCGTGCAGTGCATAGGGATGCTGTTGCAGAATCGGAAGTGATTCTCGACTAGGAACTCGGGGAAATCATGGTGGATCACCAGTAGAACCCGCAAAACACCGCGGTAGAACTGTTCAGCCATGACAGTTTCTCCAGTTGGCTTGATGAGCTTCCCGGTGAAGATCAAGAGTGTTTCCACAAGCTGAGCGTAGACGTCCCATCGCTTGTCTCCTTGGCCCTCTTCCAGCATGGCAGGCACGAAGATGCGATGAGCAACTAGTGCCAGCCAAGAGAACGTAAATCGTTGGATGTGCGAGGGTTGGATGACCAATAGAGCCCTAGCGACTGCAAGGAAGACATCGGCCTTCTGGTCTGCTAGAGCCTCTTCCTTTACCGCATCGTTCAGATGGAAAAGGATGGCAGAGAATAGGCGGAAGAAGACCTTCTGGTTAAAGGCATCGCCTCGTGTGCTGTGGTGGTTGCAGAGAACGAGCACTACCACGACGAGTATCTGATCCAGGTACCTAGCCTTGCTTTCTTTGACAGCTCCGTCTTGCTCGCCCTGGTAGACGACGAGATCGACGACCAGCCGGCCAAGCGCATCGATCTTGACTGTCGCAATGTCTTCGTTACCGTTACCGTACGGCACTGAGTGTTCTTGTTCGTATGCCGTCACTGAAGAGTCAATGCAGGTGCGGATGAAAGCAACTGAGGACTCTTGAGTCTCCATCACTTTCTGTTGATGGAGCTGGTAGATGAAAGCGCCGACTGTCTTCTTAGGCATGGGTTCCATCTGGAGATGTACCCACTCGTCGAACACATACTCAAGCTGATCCTTGTGCCCAGACGGCGGCGGTGTAAGCATTGACTCGTTGGAGGATGCCTGCAGGTTGGCGATGACGCGTTTTCCAAGCTCAAAGGATGGGTCCTCTGCTAGCCAGGTAGTAAGAGCGTCGATTGACATGGCGAAGTCGGCACGGAACGCACTCGGGTGATCGTTGAGTAGGAGCTCCTCCATCAAACTGGACAACATCTCTACTGCGGCGACGCGTCGTTCTTGAATGGCTTTGGCGATAGTTGTGTTAAGACGGTGCATGTCCATCAGGCTGACCTCCATGAGAGCGATCATGACCGTGGACTTGAAAATCCTGTCATCATCGTGCAGAGTCGCCAACCACATGAGTACCTGCCGCGAAGTCTGGACGGACAATTGGCAGAGATGGCTCAGTAGATGCGCCATGACTTCAACCTCCAAACGACTCAAAGAGTCGGAGAAGAGGTGGTTCGTGACCTGGCCTGCAATGCGGAAAGCCCACGTCTCTTTGTTGGGTCCCGCGTACTCAACGCTTGTGATGAGCTGATCGAAGACTTGGTGAACAGTGCTGTTACCAGGCTGAAGTTCGCTGATGCGCTCCTCTGGTGCCTCCTTGATGACGCGAGTGAGCTCAAGGAGTAGATCCTCAACACCTCGCTGGCCGCGCTCTAGACCTGGAGCTTCCATATAGCCGTTGGGTTGTTGTTGCGCCAAGGGTGCATGGGGTGTCTGAAGACTCTGTAGGCGGGGTTGCTGTGTTGGTTGACGCGGCTCTGCCGGCGCAGCACCCGGAGTTGGGAGGTTGGGTACCGCCGCAAATTGATCTTGGAGAACGTCTGGGAGCTGACGCCCACCGTCTTGCGAGGCGTTGTTAACGTGACTAGCACCACGTGACTGTCTACCAAACTCCTCGTAGATGGCCAATTGTTCGCGATTTAGACCACCAGGCATCTGCTTGTACGGTTCAGGGATGTAGAATGCCCATGGGCTGATATTCGCATCCTTGAAAGGCTCATTTGGACGAGAGCTGCGGAACATGCGACGGACGCGGACGGCATCCTCAATCTGCATGTCAATCTCTGCGAGAGACGACATCTCAGCAGCTTGCTCGACCGTGTTGCAGACTAGATCGAGGTTGTCGTTGACAAACATGAGGATGTGTCCCTCTGGAAGAGCTTGATCGGGGAGGTCTCGAGCGGTGACGCGGATGTTGTTCTGAATGCTCATGCGCAATGGCTCTTTGCAGGTAACAAGAGCCAAAGCACCGGAGAGAGCCTTTACAACAGTGTGTGCCGCGTTGCGTAGCTTCTCCTCATCTGGTTCCATGGCAAAGTCTTTGTTGATCAACTGCGATGTCGAAATGGCTGCGATAGTAACGGAGCGCTCTACTACAGGTGCGATAATCTCCTGGATGGCTTGGTTGACAGCAGTGAGGAAGATCTTCTTCAGTGCCGCTGGAGGGACCGCACTGTTTCCAGAAGGTGGGTATTGGAGCTGGTTCGTGAAGTCGGGCAGAGCCGCGGTGATAGCCGCTGACGAGAAGCGCTCGTTGGGGCCTCGGGTGCCACGGTTCAGGCTCATGATGGAAAGATCGCCAAACGCTTCCATTCCATCAGTAACCATGGATCCCAGGAATTCCTCATCCGCGGGTGGTCGGCCTCGGATACTGTTTGTAGGATCAATGTTTTTGTGATCCAGTTCCAAGCCTTTGCAGAGAACTTCGATCTCGAATTTCTGATTGAGTTTCAGATCGGCGAAGTGGTAGAGTTCCATGAGAACTCCCAGCATTTCCATGAGCCAAGGGTTTGGGGGCTTGAAGATTGTAGACTTTTGGGCCTGTACAAGTACCTTGCAGGTAAAGGGAATCACAAGCAGAAGACGATCGGTGTCGTAGCCCTCATGCAACAGATCCTTGAACGAAATGTTACGGAACTTGATCGGCTGGTCGCGGGCGATTGTCAATGAGCCAAGCCAAGAGCCTAAATTCTTGAGATGGCCACGCTCTGTGGAGCCCAGCGTGGAGTCGGTATTGAGCATGCGAATGACGCTTGAGTACGTCTCACGGAGCACCTCGGCCCAGAGGGTTTTGTCGTTGAAGAGATCTAGCATATCGAGGTACAGCTGCTGGAAGTTGGGTTGCATCTTAGCACGCTCCTCGACGAGATAGTTTGCGAACCATTGGTGATGCCTTTCTTCGACGGCTTCAGTGAGGTCGTTGATCTTATCGCGCAGATTACGCTCGGAAACGTTGTTCAATACGAACAAAACCTTGTCCTGCACGTCCTCATCTGGGTCCTCGTAGAGCTCAGGGCGGAGAGGTGGGTCGACGTAGAGGCAGGAGAACTTGGGTACAGCCGGCTCCTGGTGCAGAGCTTCATCGATACCGTTACCGTTCGTCATGCCTATGCCGTTGTGACCGTCACCGTTCACTTCACCGAGCTGCTGACCTACGACTTCTTCAGCTTTAATAAAAATCTCAGTTCCTTGGAGCCCAGGGACAATGAGAAGCTGATCGCAGTAATTGGGCCACTCAGAAAGTCGGTTCGAGAAATGAATCAGAGCTTGGAGACCAAACTTGTACATACTGTCTTCGGGTCTGTACTCCTGAACAGCTTCTAGAACCATAGCCAATCCAACCTGAAGTGCAATTCGGGACAAGAGGTTGAAGTTGATGATACCCCCGAAAAGCACAGCAGTCGTGGCTAAGGCCTCTAGAGGATATTCCCCGAAGCAGTTGTACTCGTCGAAAAGGCCATGAATCATGCACGCGAACAGTTCCTGGTCTGCGGGGTCGCGCGATTCTTTGTACTTCTTGAGTGCTGAGATGATGTCTCTGACGTCGCTATCGCCGCTGTACATGTTCTTGAAGTGCTCCTGCATCTTCTTGTCGGCATCGTCGGGAAGCGAGTTTCCATTCTGCCCGTTGGCATCGATGATGTCATCCACGCCTTCGCCATAGTTGATTAATCGCGGGTACGCCTGGATGCAGTTCCTTTGGAGGGGCAGCAGCTCGGGCTCGGGTAGACCACAGTCTGAGAGGAATCCAAGCAACGGGTATACTGTCTTCACTGCGAGTGGCAGATTGAGAGGTAGATGGTCGTCTCGTGCTCGTTGCATCTCTTCCGCAGCCCGCGCACTCAGAAAGTTAGTCAGGATGCGACGGAATAGAGGTCCTGCCTGGTCGAAGGTCTGTTCCAGCCATGGCTGGAGATCAAACTTGCCGCGCGCATGAGCTTGTGCAGCCAGGTCCAAGCTGATGTCAGTATTACTGCGAATCAGTTGCTCTAACCAGTTGTTCGTCTCAGCGTGCTCGAGCACCAGGGTGAGGGTCATCGAATCGGCGTTGTACGCATCAACAAAGCGATCTGTAAGCCATTGGAAATCCTGCTTCCAAAGACCATAGAGGACAAAGTTGTATATGGGCAGCTTCTTCTGGAAGTAAGGATCAAACAGCTGTTTCAGTGCTTGTTCCTGCAAGGCACCCCAGGGTTTCGGTACTGCCGCTGCCGCTACCAGGAACTCCGCTGTGTGTGGATTAATCACCAAGTCGGGTATGCCCATGAGCTGTGCGGTGTGATATGTCTCGGACGTCTGGAAGATCATGTTGAATAGCGCGGCGGTCGCGTCGAGCGAAACGAAAGGATGCTTGACGGCTTCTTCTGCGAATGACTTGGCGTCGTCGGAGGCGTTCTCGAACGTCTTCATCGAGTACGAAGTGCGCAATCTGGGAATCTGGGTCACGTCCAGCTCTTGCCGTGTAGAAGACAGGAAAGCGACTACAAAGTACAGCTGCGTCAAGTCGTGCTGCCATTGTCCTCCCCACAGTGCCTGTATGTCGAACTTCTCGTTGTCCTGGGCGACGGGGAGCAGCGCGTTGTAGATGGCCAGAAACTGGTGGCGCTCGATGCGCAGGTGATCGCGGTCGAATGCCAAAACAACGTCCTGCCAGTCTATTCTCTGTCCGGTCCGGTGTTCGCGTAGTGCGGCTACGAAGTTCTTGGCATTGTATCCGGTGGAGAGGGCGAGGTAAAGGAGCACCGCCGCAACTTGTTGGTAGCTAATGTCGCGCGTCTCGGCCGACGCGAGCACCTCTTTGCATGCCTCCACCGTAGCTGTGCCTTGCGGACCTGCCTGTCGTACAAGCTTGACGAGCGGGTTCCGCGAGCCGTCCGTGAGCTCGACGAGTATGAGTTTCGATTCGACGATGCCGGGGATCTGCTGGTGTGTCTGCTGGTATCGCATCTGGACGGCGTACGCGAGGCTCATCTTCTTCTCTTCGTCCCACCCCTGTGGCGGGTCTTGTAGGAGGCGTTCAACGAGGGCGGCGAGGTATTCGTGGCTCATGTCCTCTGGCTGGGTGGGCTGCGCAATGGCCATTAGCAGGTCGTCGCCGACGGTGGAGAGGACGGCATCGGCTAATGAGAGTTAGCGTAAGAGTCAATTGGGAGGTGAGAGAGCCCACCTTTGCTCCGGAGATCTGTCTTCCTGCAAGCGAGGGCTAGCATCGTCTTTGCGACAGAGTCGAGCTTGAAGTGGGCTATGAAGGCGGACAGGTCGAAGTCGCGGAACAGATCGCCCTCGCTGGAGCTAATTGACTCTGCAATCTTGTCTGCCTGCTCGGGCTCCTTCCGTATCTTGTGCACCTCGGTGAGGAGGATCTGGTAGCTGCCGTTGGGGTCGGCGCTGCGGGCGCCGGTGCCGAAGATTGTGGCTGCATTGTTCTGCAGCACGCGGCGGAAGTATTTCGAGAAGACCTCCATGCCGTTGGAGTCGACCAGCTGGCGACGCGTCAGTAAAGTACCAATGGGGCAGGTGCGATGGGGTCAACGAACCTTCCTGATCTGCTCGGTTTGCGTGTCCCACTTGGCGCGGTCTTTGTCGTCCTTTACAGGGCCAAACTGACTGAGCAGCAGGAATATCTGGGCAATGACAATGCGGGAGAGGTTCTGCGAGGACGCGCCGGACGGGTTGCTGGCGGTGCTGGGGGAGCCCGTGGTGCTCGAGGTGGAGAGCGAGGGCGAGGCGCGGACAAGCTTGGAGGCTCCTCCGCCGCTACTTGACTGTGCACCGGCGCCGTTGGTAGCGGCTGCGGCGGAGGAAGCCAGGTGCTGTGCAGCGTGGGGCGCTATGGTCCTGGGTCCTCTCGAGGACAGCAGCTGGCTGGCGGGGAGCTGCTGTCCTGCGGCGGGCGGGAAGGGCGACGAAGTTATCGAGGCGGCCGACGACTTGCGGCTGCGGACTAGGCGCTGCGAGACGGACGCGGGCGGCAGCGAGGGGAAGTTGGAGGCGGCGGGCGACTGGCTGGGCCGCGAGCTGCTGGGCGAGGGCGTGCTGGAGTTGCGCTGGTCGTGGGCAATTGCGGTCGAGATGGGCGAGGGACGTGTGCTTTGGTTTGGTCTCGGGCCCCAGGGGTGTTGCTGGCTCATCGAAAGCGTCTTTCCATGAGTAGCGCGTGGCAGGCGGGGGAGGGGTGGTGGTGATGGCGTGGGCGTGGTGATAGACTGGATGGGTGTTCACGCTCGCCCGTGTAGGAAAGCGATGTTCTTGGCAGAGTTTAGTAGACCTGACACGTTTGACAGAGCAGCAACACCACGAAAGCTTGGAAGGGCATGTGTATGCATTGACTAAGATTCCATTCTCTATTCGTGACTGAAATTCATATTTCATAATTACACTATTGCGCTCATTCTGACGATGAAGCTGTTCGTGAGGCTCCAGGGCTACCTGCTGCTGATACCCCACACTCCGCCTAACGACATGACTGTATCCATCCTGTCCAATTCCCATGCCACATTCCTCCCTCATCGGCGAGGGTACCCTGACTTTGACGTATTTTATCACATGACTTGGAGATTGTCAATGGTTCCTCCAAGGTTGTCATCGATGCAGTCTAGGGCATACTCAGCGAACTGCAGCTGCACGACTTCCAGCTCACAACAGTATTGATAGACGACAGGCACGATGCATATCCTGCATGCAGCACCCAACAGCTTAACACAACTGACCATGCACTCTACTAAAGTATGTTTCTCGGAGACATTGAGCTGATGCCCGACGCAGCCCCTGGCGCCATCTTGCTTGTTTGCAGTATGACGATGGTTCCGACATGGCCACGCGATGCATTGATCCGCGCGAACACATCAAGAAACGCAGCACAGGAAAAGAATATCCCCAATAACAAGCCGAAGTATCAATAGGGGTGATAGGCTGACCTGCACGCCGTGGTTCGTCATAGTGCTGGGGTTAGCGCTCCTAGGTACCCCTCGGCGCTCGCGTCGCCTAGGTGATGTTGCTGGCCGTCAACACAGCTGTACACCGCCAGCACATCCTGGTTTACCGTCAACACCTGGCTCAGTCGCTCGACTGCATATCCGATATCCCCATATTCTTCCCCCACCCACATGCGAGCATTCGCTTTCTCGCTCAATCTGCCCGCCCCCTCAATTTCCCCTCGCTGAAGCAGTAAACACACGCGCCATGGGTGGTGCAGCGACGGAGCCGCCTTCGGTCTCCCTATCGTGTACGTAAATTGCCTACTCCCTCTACTCCGCCCATACTGACGTTTGCAGTCGCCAACAATTTCTGGGGCAAAGATGACGCCGGCGTCGGTCCCATGCTCGACCGCATGCATGCGGCCAAGGTCACCAATGACGAACTCAAGAACTTCTACGCAGCCCGCTCAGCAATTGAAGAGGAATACTCGCGGAAACTCCTAAATCTATCGCGCAAGCCCCTGGGATCCTGCGAAACCGGCACCCTACGACTGTCGTGCGATGTCATCCGAGCCGAGGTCGAGTCCATGGGCAAGGCGCACCAGAGCATAGCACAGCAGATGAAGACGGAGCTAGAAGAGCCACTAGCCGCTTTCGCTGGTGGAATGAAGGAGCGCAGGAAGATTGTGCAGAATGGCATCGAGAAGCTGCTCAAGCTGAAGATGCAGCAGACCTCGACTGTCAACAAGGCACGCGACCGTTACGAGCAGGACTGTCTCAAGATCAAGGGTTTCCTAGCGCAGGCGCACATGGTCATGGGACACGAGGAGCGGAAGAACAAGGCAAAGCTCGAGAAGACACAAATCAATTTGGCGACGACGAGCAGCGAATACGAGGCTGCGGTCAAGGTGCTCGAGGAGACCACCGGCAGATGGAACAGGGACTGGAAAGCCGCCTGCGACAAGTTCCAGGATCTCGAAGAGGAGCGCATCGACTACACCAAGAGCAGTCTATGGAATTTTGCCAACATTGCCTCTACAGTATGCGTCAGCGACGATGCCGGATGCGAGAAGATGCGCCTGTCCCTCGAGGATTGCGACGTAGAGAAGGACATCAGCGGCTTCATCAAGGAGTCCGGTACTGGCCAGGAGATCCCCGACCCTCCCAAGTTCATCAACTTCTGCAGAGGAGACGTCGAGACCTCATCGCAGGTTGACGAGGACGAGAACTACTCAGTCGCCCAGTTTGCTAGGACCTTGAACCCATCCTACCGCGCTTCATCACCAGCGCCATCTACATTCTCCTCGCACCACGATCCAAACAACCCACTAGTACGAGAGCTAGGTCTCCCACAGGAAACACGCCCAATCGCTCCTGACGATCTACTACCGCGACAGTCCTTGGACCGTCCACCACAGCGTCAGTCTATAGATATGCCTCGACAATCTGTAGAATCGTTCAGACAGCCAGTGGAACCACCGCCTCCGCTCATGGATGAACCCCGCAGGCGTGGAGAGTCTCCCCACCAACAGGCAGAATCTCCCCGACAGTACGCACAATCGACCCGGTCGCGTGCCCAATCCCGATCAAATGGGGATTACCAGCATCAGCAGGTCGAGCCGCTGAGGCAGCGCGCAGAACAGCCCCAACCGCACGTGCAGCCTTTGAGACAACATACAGACCCACCAAGACAGCAGCAGCAGCACATCGAGCCTCTGAGACAACAACACCACATTGAACCTCTGCGACAACATGTGGAGCCACCAAGGCAACCAGAGCCACAGCAAGCCCCTCCATCCCCACAAGTTGCACGCGCAGTACAGCCAGATCCTCGATTGGTTCAGGCACAGCAACAAGCTCGTCAACAATACCAGCAGAGTCAAGTCCCACACAACGACTATCCTTCGGATGGTATGACACAGTTCTGCCGCATCGATGCGCCGTCTGATCGCAGCTCGATCCCAAGTCCCGCTCGACCTGCCAGTAGGGATTCACAGAGCGATTACTCCAACCCCACGTCTTTCTCTAGCATCGAGCCTCCAAGTGGTTCAGCATCTCCTGGCAAGCCAATGCCACAGTCACCATTGCCTGAACCTAGTCCGATCGAAGAGGGGTCAGTGGCGAAGAAGAGGGGCTTCTTCAACAGCCCCTTCGCACGGAGAAAGAGCAAGCACGAAGTCGAGACTCCAGCAGCTCTTACTCCTGCCAATCGCAACCGCAATACATGGGCACCTCCCGCGCGCAGGAATACAGAGGAGAATACCAGCCCAACCAAGAGCTTTGCTACTAGAGCCACTCCTCGCAATGCTATTCAGAGCCGCGCTCCCTCGCCCAGCCCTGAACCAGCTGATCCCCGTGCCAACTTCCAACTCAACGTTGGTAACAATGTTTTTGACGTGGCCTCGCCAGACAAGAAGAAGCAACAAGAGCAGGAAGAGTCGCAAGATGACCTTGATCCAATTGCGCAGGCCCTTGAGGAGCTAAGAGGTGTCACTAAACAGACATCTGTTCGTCAGCAGCCAGATGATCGCAAACAGGCTTCTTCTCGCCAGACTGCCGATCGTTACCATGGTCTCGCAACGCCTGCTCCGGGTACACCTGCTGTCGGGTCGAAGTTGGTAGGTGGTGCCCCTACTCCCCTTTCTAACGTCGACCTGAGCGCTGCAAAGCGAGGCACACCTCCACCAACATACGAGCAGCCAAAACGCGAGCAGCCACCTCCCCAGCCTCGTGAGCAGCCGCGCGAAGCACCACCCATGTCTCACCTGGGCGCTCCTAAGCCAGCGCATACTTCGCGCGCTATGCAGAAGACGACTCAGATGTATGTCAATCAGAAAGTGAGCATGTTCAACGGAAGTCAGGCGTCTCGATCCTCCAGCCGCAGCCCTACAAAGCAAGAGCCCCCACGTGTTGCATCTCCAGCGCAACCTCCTCGAGCTATCAGTCCTCGACCAACCCTCAATACGTCTCAGAACTCATACCGCTCATCTGGAGGGCAATCACAGCCATCATCGCCTTCGACATACCAACCTGCGCAACGACAGCAACCACCAGCATCGCAGCCTGCACCAAGAGCGCAACCCGCTCCACGTCAACAGCCTGTAGCTCAGCCTGCACAACGGCCGCAACCTGCGCAACAACCAACGCCACGACCGGCATCGAGGCTACAGCAACAGCAGCAGCAACAACAGCAGCAGCAGCAGCAGCAAAGGCCTCAACAACAAGCCCCTCCCGCAAATTCGTTCAGCCGGACCGCATCACCCAATCCATATGCGGCATCAAATGCTGGGGGTAGGCCTAGAGCACAGACAGCTACTGCCGCTGCACAAGCCTACGGTACACCTGTAGGACGTAACTCGTACTCCTCGAACCGTGGCCCATCCCCCAGTGTCAACCCCACCCCACGAACTGCCTCGCCCCTTCCCCCACAACAGCCCCCTCAACCAGCCTACGCGCAATCGCAATCGCGCCCAGCATCCCGAGCAGCACCCGTGTCGCGAGCCGCAAGCCCCAACCCACAATTCCGCCAATCCCAAGAACGACCCAGCAGTTCCCACAGCGGCATGGCTCTCGCACTCTCCACCGCAGGCAGCGAGCGTGGCGACGGCAGTGTCTACGGCGGAAGCCAGTACGGAGGCAGCGTACGTGGTAGACCCGGTACTGCTTCTTCCGCCCGGCCCACGACAGCCAGTTCAGCTCGTCCAGGCACCGCTAGTACCGCCCGCCCGCAAAGCTCCTACATGGGCGGCGGCAGCGCAGGAAGCGAATTCGGCTTCAGCGGCGGGTCTGGCGCTGGTTCCGTGAGAGCGGAATCGCGGGCTAGGAGTAAGAGTTTGGCTGAACCGAAGAATTATAATAGCCAGGGCAGGGTTATTTTGAACTACTGTAAGTTTTACCATTGATGTTGATGATGAAGAACGTTGGCTAACGATCACGACAGCACGTGCGATGTACTCGTATGCAGCGCAGATTCCAGAGGAACTGGGCTTCCAGAAGGGCGATATCTTGGCTGTGCTTAGGTTGCAGGATGATGGGTGGTGGGAGGCTGAACCTGTGGGCAATACTGGTCGACCTGGTCTTGTGCCGTCGAACTACTTGCAGCCTTGCTAAGTAATGCGACTATCTGGATTGACGAGGTCTGCGAAGGATGGGAGGACTGGCTTTTGAGTGGTTTCGACCAACGTCTTTTTTGGTTTTGATCTAGCGATTTTGCTTGCACATACCCTCGTTCTATCGTTTGGCGTTTGCGGGATGAGTATTTTGCAGGGACGAGCGAACGAACGAATGAGGATGCGAGATGAGTGGGAGGAAAATGAGATGGAATGGTATCAGGCTTAGATAGCCAAACGTAAATAGCACCCAACCGTACAACGAACAGAATGAGAAACTTGTACATGCCACTCTTGAACCAATATACGGGAGTGTGCTTCAAAAGAAACTTCGAGCTACGGCGAGTTTGTAATCACTACACGGTTGTAAAAGATATGGCTCAGAGTCAGGTTAAAAGCTGGCAGTGTAAAAATGAAGTTTGGGTATCTACTCAACTGAACGCCTATCATGCTCGCTTGCCTGTTTCCTGCAATATGCCATCCTTCTATACGCCGTATCTCATGCCTATACTTTTCGCACATCCTCTCTCCTCCTAGTGCCATCCCCCTACTCATAAGTATTCTCATACGGATCCGCATCATCAATATCCTCATCCTCGCCATTATCAAAGTACTGCTCCGCATTATAATCATCGTCGCTCTCCTCCGAATCCGTACTGGCGGCGCTCCAATTATCCTCCTCATCAACCGCATCAGGTTTCTCCTCGTCAATCTCGTCGTCTTCGGCTTCGGCGTCGTCGTCGTCTTCTTCGGCGCGCGCTTCGGCTTCGTTGGTGCGTTCTTGTTCGGATTTTATGAGGCGTTCGATTTGAGAGACGCTGCTTACTTTTGTTACGGCGAGTGTGCGGCGGGCGGGCTTTTTGGTGTTGGAGGAGGTGGTGCTGGTTGTGCCGGTGAGGGTTGTGCGGAGTTCGGTGGGGAAGAGGTCGACGACTGCGTGGGGGTGTTAGTTCTATGGTTGCTGGATAGCGAGTGTGCAGAGAGACTTGCCGTATGGTCGCGCGTCTAGCTTTGGGAGGCGCCGGCGCACTTTTAGGTATTTCGCGGAGTAGGTCTGGTTGCCGGTGAAGGGGTCGAAGAGGGAGGCTTCGGTGGGAGCCGGCTCGTTGGCCTTGCGCTTGAGCCCGTTCTTCATGCCGTCATTGAGAATGGTGTAGAAGGGGCCTTCGTGGATGCGGTCGCGGACTGCGAGGTGGTGCTTTACCATAGCTAGCTCATCGTCGGTTGGTGGAGGCGCTTGGGGAGGTGGTGCTTCCTGCGTATGGCTTAGTGGGTTGATCAAAGATGCGCTCTTCAGTATCGTGCTGGTGGAGTGCTGCGACTGCGACTGCGACTGCGATAGGCGGGGCATGGTGGTTGCGACAACATTATACAGACATGCGCAGTGCTAGTAGACATGCGCGATGCCGTAGAAAACATGCGCAGAGTAGTCGCGATACAGCAGATGGGTATGCGACGGAGAAAGGGAGATGCTCACTGGAAAGCGCTCGGCAGGGCCCTTCTGTATGTCGAGGCCAGTAAGATCCCAGTTGAGCTCCGTTCCCGCAATCGTCACGGTTCCTCGCGCGGGATTGAAAGCACCTCCGCGCGAACCTCCGCGTCCACCACCTCGTCCTCCTCTTGCTGGCGGCATGCCAAGCTTCTTGAGTTATACGAGTCGCTGTGTCTACTATGGTTTTCCTTTACGGCAGGTCGATCAGGCGTCGTCGAAGGAGAGTTTGCGGAGGGTTGTGGAGTCAGAAATTATTTCGGTGCAGTTGCGACCGGCTTGCTAGGCTGAGCTCGAGGGTGGGGTCCCAATAGCGAACTTGCACCCGCAGCCCCGCCACCTCTACCCTAAACCCCGGTATTCAAGTGCACGACAATAGGAACCTTCGAAGCGATATCAAGTCATCTACAGTCATTAACCGGGCGCATATCGAGTTATAGCGACCCAGCTTGAGGTACAGTCGCAGTCCAAGCAGTCAGCATCGACGCCATCACCGTGCATCAGGCTACAAGGAACGCGTGCTTCCGTTACGCGCAATCACATGAGCGGCCTAGAACCTTCTCTTGCACTATAACCGCCACGCTCGAGCCAGGACTACCTTCCAGAACTTCGACAGTCCAACTTCTTTAAGCTTGCTCAAGGAGCACTACATCAAACATTCAAAATGGCCGCATCGACTGCTACGCTCAGCGAGCTCTCAGAGCATCTGCAAAAGGTCGACCAAGATCCTACCACTCCGCTCGACACAGATCTACTTGAGCGATGCGAGCTCTCCACAAACACGCCAGAATACCGTAGCCAGATATGGAAAGAGACGAGACCGCTTTTTCTCCAGATGGCGGCGTTACTACCAACGCTTCAACAAGACCCCACGCCACTCACCCACTTCATCGTCAAGCTGGCGGAACCATATCGATTTGACGATATCAAAGACATTGACTTTGAAATCGGCCTGGATCTAAAAGCTACTCCGTTTCACAGTCTCATCCTTACTTTGCTCGAGAAGGCCACCACAAGTAGCACCGATGCTCAAGCACTTGCGAATCGGCCAGCGGTCATGTTGGCCATCGTCCGTCTCTGGCTATGCACCCAAGATGCTGGAGTTGCGACTCAGGCCGAAGAGCTTCTTACTTCGTTATTGGAGGTGTCAAAGAACGAGCCCGTCTCGATAGATGGCAAGTCTTCGCTACATACGTATGGTACAGGTCCCATGTGGAGGCGCCTATTCAGCGACAGAGACATCAGTTCGCTGTACTACCATTATACATCTCTCAAGGACCTCACATCGCCACCCCAACCACTTCTGAACAAGCGTGACAAGACAATTTCACAGGCTAGACTGTTGTCCTGGCTACCGCGTGTCGCCGCTATGGACTGGAATGCCGTCACTTCCTCGTATGGTCTGGAAGCTGAAAAAGAAGTCGGACTGAAGGAAGGTCAAGGCTTGCTGCACTACGCTACACTAAAGATGGTCGACACAGAAGATGATATGCTCATGCATATGACCCTGCTCCAATTCTACAGCACATTGATCACCACGGTCAAAGCGAAGCCCCACCTCTCACACTACGACTCAAGTCTTGCTCTGGACTTCCTCATAGAAGAAGGCGTACACAAAGGCATCGTCGACTTCCATACCTCAAACAACCCGAGCCTTGACCACTCGTTCTTGAGCAGTCGAACAGCCCAGTATATAAGCGACTACGCATCGCATTACCCAGAGAACTTTGAGAAAAGCAGCGAGATGCCCACTATCCGAAATTACGTACACCGCAACATTCGCAAGTGTGAAGCAAGCGACCTGAACATCATTGCTTCAATGCCGCGATCAACGCTCATACCGCAAAAGGCTTCAGGACCATCCTGGGATGACTGTGTCATTACCGACATGCCAATCACGCGAACGAACCAAGACGCGCTCAAGACACTTGCAACCATCTTCCATGGTCCACCAAAAGAAGAGATTACTTTCCCACAAACCGAAACTATAGGTTCAGACAGCAAACGCACACAGACCGAAGCGGCATACGCCCGCCTCCTCACTGCCCTCTTCTACATGAAGAAGCCAAACATGTTCGCCGACATCACTACACACATGGAAACCATCGCCATGAAAGAAAACGCTCTCGCAGCCCTGACCCTCGTCGGAGCCATCATCACATCAACCTGGTTCACCGATCTACTCCCCAACATCCCCGCAAATGACCCAACTTACGCCCGTCTCACCGCCTTCCCCAAATCCGGTGTTGATCTCATCTTAGACCCTACTATTAGCGGCGGTGTTCTCCCTTCACTGCTCAAGCCAGCAACGACTTTTTCCAACCTCGTTGGTGGACGTGGCGATGCGGAGAACGCGGCGTATATCGTTGCGACGGCGAAGTTCGAGGTGCTGAAAACACTGGGTAGGAAGTTGGAGCAGGATGGTGGGAGGCAGGATGTGCTGGCTATGGTGAGGAGGAGGGTTGGTGACGGGGTTTGGGGTGATAGCGGGAATGTGGGGAGTCGGATTGGGACGTTGGAGATGTGATGATGGGGTGCTTGTAGGTTAGCGATGTTGCGTAAGGGACACGTTTGAGTTCACATAACAACTAAATTTCTCGAGATCAGTATCTACAACTTAACAACTTCCTTGGCTCCGGACCATCACGTCGCGATAAACCAGAATCAAGACCCCGCTTTAAAGACAACCTGGACCCTTCTATGTCCCTGGTACGTCCTTAATCCACCTTTGCGACTGATTACACGTCCAAAATGATGATTGGGTCCAAGTTCCTCTCCAAGGTCGCTACCAATAAGAGTCGCCCACACACCGTGACCGATTACATTGGCACGAGAATATCACAATAGACCTGCGTGTTACTTGACATGACATCTATTCGGGCTGTCAGAAATGCAGGTGGCAATTCAAGCCATCTTGAAATTCATCTTAGCGACCCTGAAAACGTACGCGCACTCCTCAAGACCAAACAAAAGCTTGGTCGTCGCTTACATTACCGGTATGACTTGATTAAGCTTTGTGGCTTGATAAGCTTAGGATGATCTGCCGCCGCGCGTCCGTCCTTCTTGGTTGTTGCATCACCTTGACTGCCTTGGGGCTGTCGCATGATCGTTGCGAGAGATCTTGCAGTCGGAGAAAGCCTATGAGCATAGTTGATGATGATAATGAATGGCACATGAAGTATAGTAGTGCGACAAATATCACAAGCAGCGGTGATGGACAACCTCGAGCGATGCCAGTGTCGTAAAACGCTGAAGTTAACAAGAACTCCGCACTCAACACCGTACCGGTCTTCCAGAGTCGTGATATACTGGTACACGATAAGGTATAAGCTAAGAATGTAGTAGCTATACCGTAATGGCATGCCATAGAGCTGGGTCGTCCCGTCGGGGGTCGTCTGCCCGGCCCGTAAGTGGAGCGTTATGGGCCACAGTGTACACTCATTGCCCGAAGCACAGCAACATCAATATGATTCTTACATCAGTATTCATAGTGCATCTGCAATCGCCGTTTCCTCACTGCTGACCTCAGCAGGTGCGAAGTGACGGGGGATACCTTCTCCCTTCCTGAGCAACAACAGCTGCAACCACACACTTTCCATCTGATCCCATCACAAGTTCATCTTCTCAACTCATCGATCTTGCAAGCAATCCACATCCATGCTACTGGCCCGCTTTGGAGACACGCCTAGATCTGAGGTTCGCCTCGATCACAGTTGCGGAAAACATTGACAGTCACTGACACCGCTTGCGTCGTGGCTACTCGACACGGGTGAGTAGTTCTTTGAACCCACAACTGCTTTATCCATGCTTGCTAACCACATTATCTTCAGGAATTGTGTAGGCGGCCATCACTGGAGACAACTCCAGTCTGAGTCTTCACTTACGCACTCGTCGCCAACAAAGCTTCATCACATCACCTGCGCACCAAACAATCATGGTGTTGCCTGATGAGCTCCTTTCTCTTCTCGGGTGGAATAATTCAGATGCATCTTTCTGCAATGGTCCCTACCACATCACTCTTGAAGAAAAGCTCTTGAATCTCCGCCGGATTGCATACGCGTGCTACTTCCAGGAGCTTCGGAACAACCAGCCCGTTACCCAGCTACTCAAAAGAGCATACGGGCTCTTAGCACAGGACGCTTTCTCCGTCGACAATCGCGCGAATGCTTTGGCAGCTATTGTGAACACTGCTTGGCCTCCGGGCTCATGGACTCCTATTGCTCCCAATCGGATGTATCTCCATGTAAGTTTGCATGGTCGACTCTGTGACATCCAACGGAAAGAAAGCTGATCAGAGATACCAGACACCAAATGGATGCCCCAAGCAGAACATCACCCAACGTGCATTCATCAGGGTGAACCAGGCCAAGAAACCTGTCTCAACAGTGACATTGATCGGGCAACATGGCCAAGAAGAGTTTGACCTCCGCGACCCCTCACAGCTATACAAGCTCTTCGACGCGGTGGTAGACAGCGAATTCATCTTCGCGCTGAAGGAGGCACTTCGCTTCCGAGATGCTCTCCAGCAGACAGTGGAACCTCCACCACAGTCGACAGCCCATGCTCACCCGGGTTTGCCCTCCATCATCGAGCAATACCAGCATGCTTGGAATAGCCAAGTTCAGCCTCCCGCCCACGCACTTGTCATCAGGAATAGCCAAGTTCGACCTCACGCCCGCGTACTCGCTATCAAGAATGGACCAAAGGAGGTGACAAAGAAGCCGTCCCGGAGGAGATTGATGGAGCAAAACCGCTTCAAGACCAACCCATGTCGCATGCGCTACCAGCTCCTCCCTTACTCCGCAATCCCCTTCCACCTCGTCACCTGGCCACGAAGCGAATCCGTGGTCCCACCTTCAGACCTCGCAGAAAGTTCCGCCCTGCGAGATTTCATCACCGTGGACGGCGAAGCAGGCTGCGAGCACGACGAGATACTGCTCTTCTACCTGATGGGACTAGCGATGGAGCGCCTCACACTCGAAGGCTTCGCTCTGTTAGCCCATGAGGTGTGCGACCTCCGAATCCGTCTTTCGCGGAGTAGACGCGGAGTAGATCCGCCGTTTGGTCCCACCTCAGGACGACTTCTCGCAGTGGAGCCACATGGGCTGGATGATAAGATACATATCATCTGTCGCGAGGACGTCGACAAGGATAAGATTAGGATGTGGGTGGTGAATGAAGACCAGGGCCAACAGAGCTGCATCATTCGCATTGAGAAGCGTTCTGAGAATGCGTCGCGGACGCTTTCGAGTTTGGGGAAGAGGGAGGTATCGTCGTCGCCGAGGGTGTACTGCGATATTGCGCCCAAGAAAGTGAAGGTGGAATGATGCGGAAGGGGTTGTAAGTGGCGAAGTTCTTTCTTGTTGGATTCTGTAGACAGTAGTAGGTACAATAAGACCCTTCTTCTCGATTATATTTACAATTACTGACAATATTCCAGCTATTTGCGCAGATTCTGTGTCCCTTCCCCGTCCCTTATCGCCAATGACAGTCGCAACGTTGCGAACCGTCTTTTCCAGTATGCCCAAGTCATTAAAATCGTAAACGCCATTTTCGCCAACGCATCCAATCAACAATTTATATCCGTGTGTTTATTCCTCTGAATTCCTCGCATAATACCTCGGTCGGGGCGTCGTCCTCCTCGACCTCCGCTCCTCACCCATATCCTCACTCTGCCTCTCTATCCGTAGCATCTCGCGCACCTTGCCATCGAACGTAACAATGATGTGATACGGCACCTGCGGCGATGCCAGTCCGGACGACGAACGGGAGAAGTATCCGCTGCCTGCCGATGACGCGGGCGACAAAGGTGTGATGGGTGTATTAGGCGACGAGTCTCGTGACGACGATGCAGACGATGTTTGCGTATTGATCGTCGTAGTCTGCGCGTGCGAATCCATTTTTAGGTTTTTTTTCGAGGGTCTGGTATGTCGATCGTATCGTGCTTTTGGTGGTAGTGGTTGCGGGTACGGTACGATGCGGTAGGGCCGAAAGTTTAAGAATAGACAAGCAGTAGTAGTGTACCGACTCTGTGCTGAATACGAGAAGGGAAAGCTACACCAACAACAATATTGATGCTCGTGTCCTGGCTAAGAATATATTCGTATGTGCTCGGATGCGGGTGGCAGGTGGTAGATGCCTTTCGTTCCGTAACGCTTTGTTTACGGGTTTGGAGAGGGCCAAGAACAGGTTGGTTGTCGGGGTGGCTGGCCGGAGTACTGCTATGTGGGCAGGTTCTAGATGGCTTTTGAAGGTGGATCAGGGAAGATGTTGCGTAGACCCCTGGAAGCGCGTTAGGGATGATGCTTGTTGAGGGCTTTTTGTTGCTCGGCCGGCGTCCCGCTGCGGGATGACAGGATGTGGAGGTGGTACGTACGAGAAAACTTGCAAGTGCTACGGACGACTTCTCTTTCCCTATTAATCCGTGATGTATGTGAGCGAGAAGAAGTAACGACCCGTTGATAGTTGCGCAAATATATTGTATAATGATAAGAATATCTGAATCGATATATAGAGCTTGATAATAGTAATAACAAAAGCCCACCAAAAAATCAACAACTCACCCACATTCCATGGTGAAACCCTCCTCCTATTTATCGAAAAGAACCCACATGGGCTGAGTCCGACGGTCGAGCGCTCGAAAAACACCGCGTCAGCGCCCATCCATCATCATCTCGGAGGCCCACTTGTGGGACGCGTTGCGGTCAGGCATCCGAGGCCGGCCGCCGGCCTGCTGTGCTGCGCCTCGGCCCTAACAGATCGCCATAGCGTGCCTTGAAGAAAAACGTGAGGTGGCTGCACGTGTGTTACTATGTTTAGGTGATGAGTTGTTCCATTGTTCGAGAAGGAAAAGTCAGGCGCGCGATGGTGTGTTCATCTTTGATGTGTGGGTGAGTAAGGGCAGGGCGGAGGACGTTGGCTGTGCACCGTTAGGAGAAGCGACGGGGGTGTTTGGAAGGAATTATTGCCACTTTGGGCTGTGCGAGGGTGCGAAGCGAGGGCAGAGGGGAGATGAGCCCCCTGTACATCAGGACGACGGAACGTGTTTGAGAGTGTTCTTTCTTGCTCGCGAGATGAAGGCGAATTTCGAAGATCGCACTTTGGAGAGATGAGGGTGAATTCTTCCATGGGAATTCGGCAGATGCTATTCGGTCCTACCCCCACAATCTAATGTCGAGATGCCCACCTGCAATGTCAATCCTGTTCCACCCTCACGAACGGTTTTCCTTTGAGAACTTTCGCACTACATGAGGTGCGTCTTACAGTACTGTACTGCTCGTACACTCTTTGCGGGTGCATCATGATGGCACTTGAACTGCGTCTTGGCTGCTGCGTGCGCCACCTCCCTTACATACCCCGAGTATGAAGGTCCGTTGACCAGTCGCATCTTACCCCGATATCGTCATGATAATCCATCGCTCCGCCATCGCAACACTTCACTCGCCAGATTATCCATCTCACGATCTCTCACAGCCTTGTGCCGATCTCTCGTATCTACACCGTGTATCACTTGCGACATGGCTAAGG